CCTCCCCATTCCCCTCTAAACGCCAACTATGGCACTATCTGAGGGCAAACTGGCAATCCTTGCGAGAATTCTTCTTCCACTTTCTTTGGGATGAATGCTGCTTTTCCACTCAGGATGCCTCGGTATGTTCTGACAGCATTGCTGGGGCTATACAGGGTGGTATGAGTGCATTTATCCCATCTTCTACCAAAACTTTCACTTTACAATCATTGATTGATAACTCCTGTTCTCATCCATGTAGGGAGAGAGAGAGGGCATATCAAGTTATGAAACTTCTCCTATTACCCACTCCTCTTTCATTACTTCTAGGAATCTTTGTAAGGCTATTCTTCGTAGGGCCGAGCGGAATTTTATAAAAAGAAAGACCGCTGTCCAAACTAACTCTTCTTCTAGTAAATCCTTCTGGTCCTTAATCAAAAACATATGTAATAACTTCTGCACTCCCACTTTTCCTCCTCTCTTCTGACCTGATAACCCAGTAGCCAACTCTCCCCCCGATAAAGCCAATCTCTTTGGCACCTTACAGTATTCTCCTCTAACTCCACCTTCGACAATTCCAACTCTATCCCTCCTACTCCTGCTCCTCATACTGAACCTATGCACTTTCCTATAATCTCCACTCGTAGGGTTGCTGGTGTGTTATCCAGGTTGAAAGTGAGTAAGGCGCATGGACCGGACGGAATACCCCCTCGTGTTCTGAGGGAGTGTGCTGAAGTTCTGGCCCCTTTGCTTGCTCGCCTCTTTCACCTTTGCCTTAGAACCCAAACTTTTCCTTCTTCTTGGAAGCATGCCTCGGTTCAGCCCATCCCGAAGAAGGGTGATCATTCCACTCCCCCTAACTTTAGCCCCATTGCCCTAACTTCATCCCTCTCTTAAGATTTTCGAAACTACTGTACAGTCAACCCTCACTTTACGCGGTTAATACAACCCACAGGGTACCGCGGAAAGTGAGAAACGCGTAAAGTGAACAACATAACATATGGGATGAATTGAAATAAAGACCGGGCCAACCCCCAAACTCCACTTTTTGACGACACAACTATGTTGTAGTAAAAATTTCATCTTAACTTTATGATGGTATGCACACACAATTAATATAGAAGAGGTTAGGTTAGGAAAAATAAAGGTTAAGTTAGGAAAAATAAAGGTTAGGTTAGGAAAAATAAAAGTTAGGTTTAACACTTACGTTAGTAGAAGAGATGGTTCGGCATACAGGGATGGAGGCTGGTTCCGAGGCAGAGGGCAGGCTACTGGCCCTCAGGTGAGTCACCATCACTGTCATCCACACTTGTCAGGGCCTCCCTGACAAATCCCTCAAAGTCATCTTCACTGTCTCTACCTCTGTCACTATCACTGGCTTGGGCTGGCTGTGGTGGGTTGCGGGCGAAGAACTCTGTTATGCTTTGCTGACGGCTGGTGTTTATGTTGTCGTGATAAACCTTGAAGTAGGGCTCCATAGTCTGCAACAGCTGGGTAGTGAAGATTTCATACCTGTTTGCGTCAGGGTCGTCGGAAAGGAGGAGCTTGACTTTCTCGATACACTCGATGGCACCCCTAACATTACTATGGGATAAGCGGTGTTCTTCTTGGGATGACGCACCACCTGCCTCTTCACTGACGTCATCATCATCTACCATCTCGTCGGTAGTCACATCAGGATCCCTTATCACCTCCAGGATGTCGTCGTTGGTGGTCTCGGAGAAGCCTGCAGCTGTAACACTCTGCGCAGCTTCTCTGGCAAGGTCCACTGCTACTGCAACAGTCTAAACCTCACCAGCCACAGATTGACTCTGCCTAACGGCCGGAATACCTTGCAACACATGTCTCCATGCGTGACGAACAGTTGCTACAGACAGCTGATCCCATGCCTCCACCAAGAAGTCCACAGTTTTCATGATGTTGAATATTCTCCAGAATTGTTTGAAAAGTATTTTTTGCTCTGCCAACTGTTGATCCTCGTCGTCTTCGCTCTTGCTATCGGTGGTGGTGTCACTCAGGTTACGCAACTCTTCCCTGGTGTTGGTGTAGTCGTTCAGGAGCTTGAATTTTTTCGTAGAGAATGCAGCTTTTACATTACAGATTAACTCTTGGTCCATGGGCTGTAATATAGACGTAGTGTTGGGAGGAAGGAAGACCACTTTTACGTTGGGGTGACGATCTAACAGTAGGGGCGAGTGTCCTGGTGCGTTGTCCAGCAGCAACAAAATCTTGAATGGCACATTCTGTTGCTCACAGAATTTCTTTACATTGGGAACGAAACAGTCATCAAACCAGGAGAGGGACAGTGTAGAGAACATCCACGCCTTACGTGCGGTCAGCCAGTGGACATTTAGCTTGGTCATGTCCATGCTCTTGTAGGCGTGCGGCTTGCGGGCTGTGTGGATCACCGATAACTTGAGCTTACAGGTACCAGAGGCATTGGTGGTAAACAGGACGGTGATGCGCTCCTTCTGCAACTTCCGGCCCCGATACTTGCTGGCATTCTTTACAACGAAGGACTTGGAAGGTAGCTTTTTCCAAAAAAGACCAGATTCGTCCATGTTGAACACCTGGTCGTCGGTGTACGTCCTTTGTCCATAATCTCACGTAAAAACGGAGGAAATTCCCTAGCCGCAACACGGTCAGCACTAGCTTCTTCACCACCAATGTTGATATTGGTGATCTTGTTCCGCATCTTAAACCTCTGTAACCACCCAGAGGAAGCATTAAAGGGTTTGGGCTCTGTAATTCCCATCTTTCGTGACACTGCAGCATACAGTTCACGTGCGTACTCCTTAACAGAGCGCATGTCCACCGCCATGTTCCGTCGCGCCTGACGCACCAAGTAGCTCACAAGTAATTTTTCCGTCTTGAGAAGCACCTTGTTGTGAAAATACTTGATCATAGAAGCACCTGTAGACTTTGTGATCTTCATGTGCTACTTTATGTTGGCTGCATCCTTCTTTATCGTCCGGATCGTAGATTTGTTCACACCATGCTGGCGCGCCAAATCAACCTGTCTTGTTCCTTTCTCTAACTCTTGGATGATCTTGTACTTCACCTCGTAGCTTAAGGAACGTCGTGTCTTCTTGGGCTTAGGGCGGCTGGGTCCAGGCAAGGGGGCGGTGGTCCAGCGGAAGCCATTTTACAGAACAATGGATGCACGATTACACGGTGTGGCCTGGAGGGATGAAACTGCCGCGACTAGGTCAAGCGTCGTCTTTCCTCCCTCCCTCCCTCCCTCCCTCCCTCCCTCCCCCGGGTGGACACGTCATATTACTTTAAACCAATTACAGCTAGCAGCGGAGGGAGGTAGGGATGCATGGCCATTTACAGTCCGATACGTCATATGACGTCACTGATAACGCAACAAAGACATGCACTTCGCAACCTTACCGCGCGGCTTGCCCAGGTGGAGGCGGGAGCAGGCGGGAGGGGTGAATCTAAAAATAGCGTGGAGCCGGACACACTCCGCGTAAAGGGGTACACGCACCGCGGATGTGAGCATCCCGGGTTCCGGCAGGGTACCGTGTAAACGTGGAAACGTGGAATGTGGGACCGCGTAAAGTGAGGGTTGACTGTATCTTAAACTCTCATTTTCTCCATTACCTTGAACTCCATTATCTTTTGTCGGATCATCAGTATGGCTTTCGCCAGGCGAGATCTACTGGTGATCTGCTCTCCTACTGCACCCATCTTTGGTCATCCTCTCTTAGGGATTATGGGGAAACTTTCGCCATGGCCCTCGACATCTCCAAAGTATTTGACAGGGTATGGCACAAGTGTTTGCTTTCTAAACTTCTTTCATATGGTTTCTCTCCCACACTTTGTTCTCTAATGTCTAGCTTCCTTGAGAACCGATCTATGGTAGTTGATGTCGAGGAATCGATCTCTCACTCTTTCTCAACCAATGGTGCCCCACTGGGTTCTGTTCTTTCACCTATTCTTTTCCTTCTTTTATCAAGGATTTACTTCACACTATGACTAATTCTATCCATTCTTACGCTGATGATTCTACTCTTCTCTCTTCTTCACATTTTCGTTTCCCCCTAATTCTCAAACTAGATCTGTTTTTAGAGCTGATATAATTACATCTATCTGTGCAGCTTCTCCGAATGGGGAGGTAGAAACTTGGTTAAATTCAATAATAATAAAACTCAGTAATTACCAGTTACACTTTCCAAATTATATGATCTCCCAGCAATCACATTTCAGGATGCAATCATTCTGCCAAATTCTAAAATAGATATGCTAGGCCTCACCATTTCCTCTTATATGTCATGGAAGTCACACATCCTCAACATTGCTAAAGCTGCCTCCCAAAAGCTTGGAATGCTGTACAGATGCCGTAGCTACTTCACTCCTGAGTAGTTGCTTCAAGTTTATAAAGGCTTCATCTGTCCTAACTTGGAGTACTGCTCTCATATCTGGGTGGCTTTCCTTCTGTCCAACTGTTAGGTAGGGTGGAATGAAAGGCATTTTGTCATTTTAACTCTCCTCCTTTAGTTGAATATCTTTCTTCCCTCTCTCTTCTCCGCAATGTTGCTTCACTCTCTCTCTTTACAGTTACTTTAACGGGCAGTGTTCGATGGATTTGACATCCTGCGTACCGCCGACAAGGCCTTGGGCTCGTAACACTATTCTTGCCCGCGGTGCCCACCGTTTCTATGTGAATGTCGATCACTTTAGAATAACCCATTATAGTACATTTTCTTTCCTCACACAATCAAACTGTGGAATGCTCTGCCTTCTTCTGTGTTTCCATAATTTTACAATCAGTCTCACTTAAAAAAGCTGGTTTTCCGGCATCTTCATGGTGTAGATTTTGACTTGTGCCCAGGTGTGTTAGTTCCCTGTAAAAAAAAAAACACATACAAAAAAAAAACGCTATTCTCTTCTTCGTATATCTTGCATTTTATACATCGTTCTTACTGTATTTTATTCCAGTGGTCATCATATTCTATATATATGTAGATTTCTTAATTTTTTTTTACATTTAGATTACACATTTAATATTTCAGCTTACAAGAACGTGCATTAAGTCCATCCTTGGTAGGCTACCCTCCAGTAACATCTGTGGCCACACCTCCTGCAGCAATGGGCACCCAAGTCCCACCACAAGGAGTAACAGTACCATCAGTTGCAGGTCCTGGGCCATCCCCTAATCCTTTGGGCCCTGTGGCAGCAACTCCTTCTCCAGGACCTGTGTCAGTGGGGTCTCCTGCCCCTCCCCAGGCTGGCCAAGCTCAAGTAAGGGTGTGTTTACATATACATATGTACAGTATACATGTGTGTGTGTGTGTGTGTGTGTGTGTGTGTTTGTAATTATAATAATAATAATAATAATTAACGGTTTATTGAAAGAGCTTGGGAGCCAGAAGGCTGAAAATATACAGTTACATATCTGGGGAATGAGTTTCGAATTACAAATAATATACAAATAACATAAGTGATATAAATAAGATATATAATAACTAGATGGGGAAAAGCTCAAACTACAGGGCATTTCAACATAGTGACAGTGCAAGAAGTAGTATTTACTGGGAGTGAATTCACTGGTTTATTACAAGTTATTGATAATTTTTACAATGGTTGGGACTGGGCTGTTCTTATAGCAATCAGTTCGTGCACGTATGGGCTGGATGCGGTTGTGGTGTCGAACAGCTATTCTCGGGCTAGGGATCTCAGGTGGTAGTAGGAGCCGGTGTCGAGGATGGTGTAGAAGCTCCTTGCCAAATTTGGAGATGAGGTCGTGGTGATGGTCAGTGAGAGTCGAAAGGGTCAGTGTGTTGAGCGCTTCTTGATATGTGGAGTAGGAAGGGGAGAGAATGATCTTGCATGCCCTCTTTTGCGAGAGAAAACGGACTCCTCAGATGGGGAACTCAAATAAAGAAAGCATAGCTACATGTTTTGTGGACTACAGTATTGAGCTTACCATTTTCATCACTTTGTAATAAACCTAGCCATGCCTGTGTGTGTTTCTGATACTTACCATAACATTATCTATATCTTTAGTGGGTCTAAATGGTCGTAAAATGGGAAAATTGGGGTTGGGTCTTGGGTGCCTGGAACCAATTAGAATAAATCCCATAAGTTCTGTACTTTCGTTATCGCGTTTTTCGTTATCAAGCACTCGGCGCAGTCCCAATTAGGCGTGATAAACAAGGGATGACTGTATAGAAACATTACAAAATTAAGATAATTTTGAGGCAGTTTCATTATACAGTATAGTCTTCATTTACGCGGTCAATTGAACCCGTGGAGGTCCGCGTAAAACAAGAAACGCGTAAACGAAATAACAGAACATATGGGATTAATTGAAATAGAGACTGGGCCGACCCCCAAACTACACTTTTTCCGACGCAATAGTACGTTGTAGTAAAAATAACATCTTAATTTTATGATGGTATGCACACACAATTAATATTTAAGAGAAATATCAATAATATTAGTTTTTTTAACACTTACTTTAGTAGAAAAGATGGCTCGGCACACAGGGATGGGGGGTTGGTTCCGAGGCAGAGGGCAGATTATTGGCCTTCACCTGTATCAATTGTATCACTATCACCACAGAGGCTTGCATGGCCTCTTTGTCAAACCCCTCAAAGTCCATATCCTCACTATCACTATCATTGACTTGGGCTGGCTGTGGTGGGTGATGGGTGAAGAACTCGGTAATGTTTTGTTGACTGGGCGACCTTGTGCGCACCCTGCCTGCGCCGCTTCCCGCGTAAATGATGGAATGAACCGTGTAAATAAAAATTGTCGGTCTGGCAAGGTGCCGCGTAAATGACCAAACGCGTAAACCAAATCCGCGTAAACCTAGACTATACTGTATTGGGGTAATTTTATAGTTTTGGCTAATTTGATTGATCCAGAATCCCAATGATATTTAATTAGCAAGAGTAGTTTAGCTTGTAGTGTGTTGCAAATTATAGCGTGGCCTGACATTTCAGTTTTACTAAAAGGAGATGTAAATTGAGGCTAAGTGACTATATAAGCATTGGGTGGCTGTTGTAATAAGAGAACAGACAGAGGAAAAAAACCTGTACTGCATAAGAAAATGTGTAAATGTGAGTAAAGTAGTTGAGAAAATAAGAGATGATGCTGTTTACTGAATTGTGTAAAGTGGTGTACAGTATTAGTATATTGTATCACCTTAATAAACATGTGTTTGTTTATGCAGTGAAGGAGTGACAGAAATATTGCTATTCCTGTATAATATGTACAGTAAGCCCTCGATAACTCGGCACAAATGGAGCTCTGGCCTTGCTGAGTTATCCCAAATTCCGTGTTATCGAGGCACTTCCCCCCTCCTACAAAAATACAACAATAAAAAGTATCAGCCCATTTATGTGCACATGTAATTACTAAATATAAAAAAGTAACACTTGCCAGCACTGCAGGCAAAGAATGAAGCATCATAGGTGAAACAGATACATGGTAGGTGACACAGAGGTATGGTAGGTGATGCAGGTAGCCAGATATGCCGAGATTTTCCCAGATAATTTTACATATCTCGGAATTTCCCGAATTATACTAATACTTTCCGATACCATATCCATGCCAAGTTATATGAAATACCGAATTATCAAATGCCGAGTTATCGGGGTTTACTGTATGTTGAATGTGATAAATGGGGGTAAGTGTTGTGTAGAGAAACCAGAGATGGAGAATATTGGGAATTTTGTTAGCCATTTTGTTCTGGAAGGGTTTCATTATAACTTTACCTCCTTGCCCATCCATATATCAGGAAACAAAGTCAGAATTGAATTGTTTCTAAATCTGGAAAGTGATGTTGATGCTCATTGTAGAGAGAAGAACTGGAGATGTCCTTCATTTTCTTCAACTGGGATTATATGTTGCAGATGGTGAGAGCCGGTTTCCTGTAACAGGTGGTGGTTCATCCCACCCAACCTCAGCCCATGAACATCCCCAACCAGCGAGGTGGGTGGTATTTATCATCAGTGAAAATCATGTGTGTCAAATGGCTTTATTCTTTCCTGTTCAGTGTTTGCTTTACTTCAACAGTATCAGTTGTTGTATGCAAGGATCCAATCCCTGAAAATTGGGATCCTTTAAAAAGATTTGAGTCTCATTAGAAGATAAGTTAAAGGCGTTAACATATTCCAGAATTTGACAAAGAAAATGAGAGCTAAACGGCTTCTGATGAATTTATCAGTTGTATTATTATTGCAGATGAAAAAGAACTTGGTTATATACCAGTGAAGTCTTTTATTTACGTCGGAAGAGTTTCTCTCAAGGCATCTTTTAAAGCTTATTCATGTACCATTTGTTGATTTATCATTTTGTTTTGGCCTATAAAAGGCTTCACATTATTAACTTCGATTTTTTTTTAATCAAACTATCATGCATTAAGTTTTCATTATCGTTTTTTTTTTGGGGGTTTTACTCTTAAATCTTACATTATTGGGATATGTTGTTTTTATCTTTAATTTTTTTTTTATGATCATATAAATTGGTGTTGCCTGTATAGTATTATGCATTTATAATTACAGTTTCATTTCTTATTATACTAACTTTTCATTATGTCTTTTAATCATAGATTGTAATATAAAGACTTTCCTTGTTTGATTTTGGGAGTGTTTCAGTTCCTCTTGTTAGGGTCAATGGCTGGAATGTGCATAATGATTGCTCATACCGACAGCTGTGGCCTGGAGGTAAGTTTGTTTTGACAGATGTTGAGTTTTTTATGTGTTGATATTTTTTGGTTTGACACCACTGTCAGGCGTTCCTGCTATGTTCGAGCTGTTTTGGGGATCTAGCATCACCCCTTTGGGCTTTTGACTGCAATCATTATCCATCACGAGGTATTTTGACTGGTCCATGCGCTTTTCATCCATCCTGGGTAACACAGGCCCTGCAGTGGATATTATAGGAAGTGTATAGGTTCAGT